TAAATTTTAAAATCTTTTTATTTTAAAATCCTTCCTTTAATAAATTTTTATTTTACTTTTCTTATTACATTGTTTTACTGATTTCTGTGATCAGTTCAGCGTTAATTCAGCTACTGCACTTATAAATAATTTTTTTGCTGTTCTTCTGTTTTTTTGGAGCGGTGCCAACTGGTAAGAACAACTTTATTTTATATCGTTTTGTTGTTTTCTTTTTTTTTCTTCCTTTTTTTTTGCTGAAAAGGAAATTTTTTATTATAATTTAGAAATTAAAACTTTAGTTTATGAAATGCATACAAATATTTAATTTTTTATTATACAGTTATTCTAAATGGTAATTTAAAGGTCTCTTCTAAAAGGATGCTGATATGCACGGTTTAGCGCCATTGCGGCGCTTACTATAACTTTTTTTCAAAAAATTTCATTTTTATCGATGTGCGGCGCTTGCGACGAAGCGGCGCTTTCGCCGAAAAATACGGTACTAACAGAAAGAATGGGGTCAAATTTGAAATCTTAAGTTTTGGATATGAAAAACAGATATTCCACAATTCATTAATAAAAACTTCCTACAGACGTATATTACTTGTATAAAATGTTCCCAGAAAAATAACCAATGAAAATAAAATAGTTACCAAACGAAAACTGCACCAGTCAGTTACAAAATTTCTACTTCGAAATAGATGTTCAACAGATGTTCTTTTATAATCTCGTGGGCATGGTTGTCTGTTTCTTAAAGGCTGCACTTCTCGTTCCAAATCTAGTAAGTCACGAGAAAAAGTTAAACTTCCTCCAATTCTAACGACAACTCTAAAAAAAAATATTATGTTAAGCAACAATTCAATAGGATTAAAAAAAGGAAGCTTATTTTGAAATACAAACCCTTCTTTCATGTTAGGATTTAGAGGTAAACGCCCTCCCACATCAAGTGAAGAAACAACTTTAGTGACATATATATCTCCACTACCTTTCCATAAGTTGGAGTGAAATATTTCTATCAAGCGTTTAAGTCTGTCAGAGCTAAACATATCTTCAACATTCAAGTTCAAGAATTTCATTTCAACTTCATACTCAGAGACACCTATAAAAAATTTATATGAATGATAAAAGAGTACAATAAACTTTCTAAATATTGGCACCTAATCAAATCTGATTATATAAAGGTTGCTGCACTTAGGAAAAAATTCATAAAAAGTAATATGAGATATATACTTTATTTATTGAAAACTAATAATGAGTAATTTGTCTATGGTTAGATTCATTTATCTAGAAAGAAGAGATTATTTACAAAGGTTTTATTTAAAAAGTTAAGACTTTACTTAGAAAGTGAAAATTTTATTTAGAGTTTTATGATTATCTTTATTTGCCAATAGGAAAAATTTTTTTTCACAGTAAGATCAAAATTGAAGTTCAAACCAATTCTGATAATATCTATAAAAAAAGACCTCTTATGTTATGTAACAGTAAAAAAAATTAAAAAGATTCCGTTGTACAAATTTTATGTTTAAAATCATATATTATAGTTTAAAAGATTACTAGATCTTATTAAAAAACTTTATTGGTTTCCAAAATATGCAAATGAAAACAAAAGTCATCAAGTTACAATGCTCAAAAATAGGACTCAAGGAGGAAATAGGAAATCTCAAGACTTGCTATATGTGAATAAGGAGAAACAAAAGTGACTTGAAACATAAAATGTAAATTTGTCCATGAAAAATAAAATTGAGAAACAAAACTAGAAAAACCACAGTAGCCAAG